AAGCCCTAATAAAAACAGCATGAAGCCAATTAAATTTGTTTTTTAAAATTTTATAAGCAATATATAAAATTTTTAATCTTGACCATAAAATATAACTTCCATAAGCCTTTTATAACCTTTAAAACCTTTATTAAGAAGTTGGCTAATGCTTCAAGAAAACCTTGTTAATTTGACATAGGGGCCCATAAGCTGGTCTTGCATCAATGTGCCTTTGACATTGATTTATTTATAGAGAAACTGGCCAGGTGCAGTGGATTATGCCTGTAATCCCAGCACTTTGGGATGCCAAGGTGGGCAGATAATCTGTGGTCAGGAGTTTGAGACCAGGCTGACCAACATGGTGAAACCCCATCTCTACTAAAACACAAAGATTAGCCAGGTTTGGTGGTAGCTGTAATCTCAGCTACTTGGGAGGCTGAGGCAGGAGAATCACTTGAACCCAGGTGTCAGAGGTTACAATGAGTTGAGGTTGCACCACTGTACTCCAGCCTGGGTGACAGAGTGAGACTTCCTCTAAAAAAGTATGGAGAAACTGAACTTATTTTATCTCTCAAAATTGGCCCTTACAATCTTGCATACCCACCTCTTCCCTGATAGTCCCCAGCCCTTGAGGAGTTGAATAGCTGTAATTTCTGGCCTTGTGTCTCAGGAATGCAGTTTATTTTGATTGACATTTTCTACAGGTCCTGAAGATGGGGCTTTAATTGCTATCAGGACTTAATTTTCTTTTTAAGTCTAGTAGTCAAAGCCTGTAACTCAGTGTCACAAGTACTTTAAAAGTGCATGCAGAGATATACACAATGTAACAAACTTTAATTAAAATTTTTTTAAATTTCAGTTTTTTAAAGCAAACCAAAACCTAATAATATTACGACAACTTGATCATATAAAAGTTTTTGGTTTAAAAAAAAAAAATCCTCTTGTTGTGACTTACACAGATCATTCATGACATGTTTGGATTTTCTGGTTTGTCCTGAGCATCCCTCTTTTATACAACCAGTCATTTTTCTCTAGGACTAAATTTACTACACAAGACTCTTCTTCCTATGAAATTACTTCTCCTTAATTTTTCTTACCAAAATAAAGGAAAAACCCTGTTTATTTTTATAACTTTTTAAAATCTCTCTCCTATTTCCTGGTTCCTGTTACCTTGTTTTATATATGATTTTTAAATAAGCTTTGAATTAGATAAAAATTGTTCTTCTTTTTTTTGAAATGACATACCTTTTCTTCAAGAAAAAATGTTTTCCTACAAATATATTTTTATCAGAAAATACCCAAATAATGAAATATCTATTATTTAATTTAACTTTGGATTCTAAATTATGATGTTTGTCTACAAGTATTTATCCCATTACATTTACCTAATGATTTTAATTGTTTACCTAGATTATTTATGAAAACTGTGATAGTCATCATTTAAAGTTATGGAACCACCATTGCAAAAATATAACTGAGACGTGAAAAGGCTTTGACCTCACTGACTCCATGTTGCTTTTAACCTCCTTTTAAACTGTCCTTGTTTATTCCTGGGCATAGACTGAACTCACTTTGGGAGGAACTTGGTTTATAATATAGTTTTAAAACAAAGACAATAACAGTCCTTTCCCAAAACAAACCTCACTGCCTGTGGACTAGAGTGCCTAAAGCCAAATTACAAGTTATGGTATTCTTACTAAAGTCAAGATGTAGCTATTTTTATTAAGCCAATATCAATGTCTTATTTATTAAAGATTACACAAGTAAAGATCATTCTGTTTTTGGCTAGGATGGTAGTTTTGTAATCCCTATGTCAAATTTTGTCACCTTATAGTATTTGGCAGGGATAAGCATGAAATTACTTGATTAATAAATTCAAATGAAAATGTATGCTGGCAGTTCTTAAAACATTTCTGATATTACTTTACCAATAATTTTAAGGTTAGCTTATTTATTAAAGATTTTACTTAGGTTACATGAAGTTGAAAAGGCATTTGACTAGTCTTGTCTTTTTTCCTGATAAAGTATTTGATTTAAGTGTTTTTATTTTTCTTTAAGCAAATTAATTAGAGCTCTTTTATATATTTTCAGTAGTGAAACGTGTACACAACATATAAATACAAAGAGGTGTTAGGCATGCTGATAGAGGTACATCTTATAGATTCACAAAAACCTTTTTTTTTCTCCTATCTTAGACTTCAGATTTTTTTTTTTTTTTTTTTTTTTGAGAAGGAGTTTCACTCTTGTTACCCAGGCTGGAGTGCAATGGCGCGATCTCGGCTCACCACAACCTCCACCTCCTGGGTTCAGGCAATTCTCCTGCCTCAGCCTCCTGAGTAGCTGAGATTACAGGCACGCGCCACCACGTCCAGCTAATGTTTTTGTATCTTTAGTAGAGACGGGGTTTCACCATGTTGACCAGGATGGTCTCGATCTCTTGACCTCGTGATCCACCTGCCTCGGCCTCCCAAAGTGCTAGGATTACAGGCGTGAGCCACTGCACCTGGCTGGATGTCTGAGCTTAGGACAGAGCCCACACTGAGTCCTGGGTTTCCAAAAATGGAGAATTATACCGAGGCTAGATCATGTGATGTTTTTACAGTGTACTTAAAACAAATTTTTTTAAAAACAAAGACATTACACTCTTCTTTACAAACCCAAGTAGCCTCTGTTTCAGTAACTATTTTAATCAATAAATCAGGTGACACAATATAAAAGCAAGCAGTTTAAAAGCTGAGATAAACTTGTCTGTTTACACTCTTGTGGTTCCATAAGGAAAAACAGGTTTCTCCCTGAAGGGAGACGGGCACCTTCTCTGTTTTTGTTAAAGAACCCTGGGTGATTATAAACTACTTTAAGGTCCCTCATGCAGCAGGGGGTGCAAGAGAAAGGAGAGACAGCAGAAGTAAATGAATAAAACAGGATTTAGTCAACTGAGAAGAAAAAAACTTTCGCTCAAAAAAGGACAAGGTCCTAAGAGACAGAAACAAAACAAAACATGAAGGCCTTTTAAATACAAACACACACACATGCATATATACACACATCTTGGTGTTAGCTTTTTTAATCACTGAGATCCTTAAAAAAAGACTTTTAAAATCTCATTACCATATTTTAGCTAGGACAAATTGTGGTTATTTCAGAAGTACCAAATATCAAACCAGAAAGGGCTTGATTTCAGAACCAAAAGCCAGGCTGTCATGGTTGAAAAAAGAAGGCAGGACCTTAGCTCTCAAACTGCAGCATGGGGTGACAGCTTTCAGTTGCTTTCCGTTTGGCCTGGCTAGTAAAAAGATGGCCTTGTTATGTAAACAAAGCCACTTCAGTAGTCAGAAGAAAAAATATTTCCTTTTTTTTTTTTTTCCATAATTTTGGAAATTTCCTTTGGATTTGATCAAGTCAGACAGAGTTGATGAAACCCACTGGGAAAAGGACTGAAACAACAATAAAAACAGAAACAATCAACAATAAAAACTGTTAAGCAAAACAAATGATTGCACAACTTATGTGGTCACTAGGTGCTCTAAGGGCAAGGAGAAATTAATGCCAGCTGGATGTTAATCATAACTTTAGCCAAGATAAACCCTAATTCAATTACTTACTTAGGGATGAGCCTCAGGCTATAGCCTGCTCTCTACCATCCTAAGAAAAAGGAAAAAAACCCCTCATCTTCCCTGTTGGAAGCAAGCGCAAACTCCATAAAGGAGTTACCTGCCTTCCATCATCATGGAAACAGGAAATCTTGCCTTCCTTGTGGGCAGCAAGTAAAACTCCGAAAAAAAAAAAAAAAAGGAGGTGTACAGAAAAGTAAACTTTAGATCTTGACCGAAGTTTGGGAGAACAAGGATTCTCTGGAGGAGGTGCTCTCAGACCTCAGCAAATTGCCCTATTGGTTTTGAAGCAGCAGCGGCCATGAGAAACAGACTTTTTGGACACCGAACTAGGCAGGAAGAAGTGATTTATTTCAGCCAGGAGCAAGGTGACATAGTTGTCTAACAGCCAAGCTCGTCTAACAAAAAGAAGCTCTGCCTTTATTTAGGCTTACAGCTCTAGATATTATACAAGAAAGGGTCTTGTGTTTACAACCTTAGAAATTACATGTGAAAGAGTCTTGGTCGATGGAATAGGACGGGGATGGGGGTTTGATCTTGTTTAAGTAAAAAACAATGCCTTCCAGAAAGATTTCCCCAACTATGCCTGCCATCTATAGGAAGGCAATTAAGGAGGTGCCAGTTGGCCAGCCTTTTCTTCTATTGAAATGCAGTGTGGAAGTCAAGGGGGAGGTGATCTTAGATGCTTGGGTCTCTTTCCTCAGTTTGAGTCATAAAGTCAGCTCATGCTGGCGGCAAGCACTGATAAAAGATTTGTCAAAGGTCGGGGTACCTCCACTCAGAATCCCTTCATGGTTGCCAAAATGTGAACCCCCAAAATCTGAGACAGGTCTCAGTTAATTTAGAAATTTTATTTTGCCATGGCTGAAGATTCATAACCATGACACAGACCCAGGAGGTCCTGATAACATGTGCCCAAGAGAGTCAGGGCACAGTTTGGTTTTATATATTCTCGGGAAATATGAGACATCAATCGACATATGCAAGATGAACATTGGTTCGATTTGGAAAGGCAGGACAACTCAAAGCAAACGTGGGAAGACCCAAAGTGGGCAGGGGCTTCCAGGTCATGGGCAGTTAAGAGACAAATGGTTGTACCTTTGTGAGTTTCTGTTTAGCCTCTCCGAAGGAGGTAATCAGATATGCATTTGTCTCAATGCATGAGATAAACAAATGGGCATAGGAGTGACTTTGAAAGAATGGGAGGCAGATTGGCCCTAAGGAGTTCCCAGCTAGACTTTTCCCTTTAGCTTAGTAATTTGGGGGTCCCAGGATTTATTTCCCCTTTACAAAGGTAACATATCAACTCAACATGAGATTCATTTAGTTAGTAGTTTATAGACATTCTGTCTCTATGCTAATATTGTACAGTCTCTTTAGATTATACAGTTTTTCATTCTGTATTCTCAGCTTCCTGTGCTTCCCAGAATTCCATCATCTGACCGCCATCCTAGAAGGCATTCTCATGAGGACCAGGAATTCCGATGCCGATCATCTGACCGTCTCCCTAGAAGGCATTCTCATGAGGACCAGGAATTTCGATGCCGTAGCCACATGCGGGATTGCAGAAATTACTCAGAGGAGGGATCATTCAAGGAGCCGCTGGAACCGAAAGGAAGATCCCATTCCAAAATTGAGAAATTTTCTGAGTCCTTTGAACAGCAACTGTGCTTTAGAACCAAACGTTCTGCCTCTTTGGTATGTAACAGAACTACTGAATATTTAACTGTTTTAGAAAAGGAAATCCAAAGGTTTTGTTCTCTTTAAGTTAGAAGGGAGCAAATGTAACTTCTTCATTTACAACTTGGTAATAAGATCTTTGTAAAGTAACACTCAGTTTAACATAACCCAGAATGAATTTTTTAAAATTATTATTTATAATTGAAGACATCTGGTGTAGGAAGAGTTCCTGGAATGTATTTGTTACCAAGGTCTCCTAGTTTTTCTTTTTTCTTTTCTTTTTCTTTCTTTTTTTTTTTTTTGAGATAGGGTCTCACTCTGTGCCCAGGCTGGAGTACAGTGGCCTGATCATGGCTCACTACAGCCTCAAACTGCTGGTCTCAAGTGATGCTCCTACCTCAGCCTCCTCAGTAGCTGGGCCTGGAGGCATGTGCCACCACGCCTGACTAAATTTTAAACTCTTTTTTTCTAGAGACAGGGTTTTGTTAGGTTGCTCAGGCTGGTTTCAAACTTCCGGGCTCAAGCACTGCTCCTGCCTCGGCCTCCCAAAGTGCTAGGATTCTAGGTGTGAGCCACCACACTCAGGCCCCTGGTTTCTTGAGCCTCCTTTCATCAATCTTATAAATATTGTAACTCCTTCCTTTTTTACAATTTGGAAAAAAAAAAAAAAACAAAAAAAAACAAAAACACTGCCCCATGGCTTCTCTCATTTCTTTCTTTTTTTAAGATGGAGTCTAGCTCTGTCGCCTAGGTTGGAGTGCAGTGGTGCGATCTCGGCTCACTGCAACCTCTGCCTCCCGGGTTCAAGTGATTGTGATTCTCCTGCCTCAGCCTCCCGAGTAGCTGGGATTACAGGCATGCGCCACCATGCCCAGCTAATTTTTGTATTTTTAGTAGAGACAGGGTTTCACCATGTTGGCCAGGATGGTCTTGATCTCTTGACCTCGTGATTTTCATGCTTCGGCTTCCCAAAGTGCTGGGATTACAGGCGTGAGCCACTGCACTCGCTGGCTTCTCTCCTTTCATATGTAATCCACTAGGAAATAGTCCATGATGGTGGTAATGAATAAACACTGTCTGGTAAGTATCCAGGAATAGGAGTGGGCCAGGTCCTCACAGTGACCTCATGGGAGTCTAAGTAAAGCAAAAAGAAGAGACAGCATGAAATGGGGAGAAGAATAGAAACTCCATTGGCGATACTAAAGTTAATACATGAAGTAATAAACTAAAGATCAATTAATGTGGGGTAGTTTCAACTCTGCCAGATGCTCACTGACTGGCCTTGAACAAAATGCTTCTTTTTTGGTAGGTCTTTGGTTTTCTTGTTTTATTTTGCAAAACAGGAATAATAATGGGTTGCTGCCATGCAGTAGACAAAGCAAATAATTGAACCTAAGTGTAATGACTCCTGGTTCTGGAGCTAGACTCTGTGAGTGCACCGTGAAGACAGTTGGGGGCTTTGCATTTCATTGTCCATCTGAGCACAGTGCTGTCTACCTAGCAGACTGGCTGTTGGGACTGTCACTGTGTATCTTTGCCTGGCTGATGATCAGAGGGACAAGGAAGGGCAAATAGTGAACAGTTGTAATTCCTGTAATCCCAGCACTTGGGAGGTTGAGTCCAGAGGGTCGTTGAGGCCAGGAATTAGACCAGCCTGGGCAAACTAGTGAGATCCTGTATCTATAAAATTTAAAAAAAAAAAAAAATTAGCCATGCGTGGTGGCCTGCACCTGTATTGCTCACTGCTTGGGAGGCTGAGGTGGGAGGATCCCTTGTACCTGAGTTTGAGACTGCAGTCAGTTATGACTGGAGATTGGAGCTGTTGTTCTATAGCCAGCCTGGGCAATAGAGCAAGACTCAAAAAGAAAAAAAAAAAAAAGAATTTATGTTTTGTCTTTTTAAAAAATATTGTTTGTTTTCATATTGCCTCAGGCCTAGAGAAATGTTGTTAAGACTCAGACAAAGAATTCCCATACACCCTTCCCCTAGATTACCTCCAAATGTAAATATGTCTGTATTTGCCTACACAATCTATCCTCGCATATCCAAACACAGGCACAAGAACATTCTCTGACATAAACACAATGCAGTAATTAAACTAAAAAAAATTAATACTGATATAATACTATTAACTCTAATCTATAAACCTCATTTATATTTTTTGCCAGTTGTCCTAATAATATTCTTTATAGTGAAATTTGAAGTCATGTTGCTACCCCCGTTCATGTCTCTGATGTCTATTTTACCCTGGAACACTTTCTCAGTCTTTCCTTGTTTTTCACAACATTAGCATTTTCTGAAGAGTAAGGCCAGTTATTTTTTAAGATGAGCCTCAGTTTGGGCTGGGAGTTCAAGACCAGCCTGGTCGACATGGTGAAACCCTCTCTGTACTAAAAAATACAAAAATTAGCTGGACATGGTGGTCTGCACTTATAATCCCAGCTACTTGGGAGGCTGAGACAGGAGAATTGGTGGAGCCCAGGAACTGGAGGTTGTAGTTAGCTGAGATCTTGTCATTGCACTTTAGCCTGAGCAACAGAAAATGACTCCATCTCAAAAAAAAAATAATAATAAAAAAGAAAACAAACAAAAAAGGATGAGCCTCAGTTTGACTTTTTCTGATATTTCTATATGATTAGATTCAGTTTATGAATCTTTCACAAGAATAAAACAAAAGTGAGATAATTCCTGTTTTAAACCCGACATGTTAAAATGTATCTTAATTCAGGAGACTTACTCAACTTAAATCCTTCCTGGAACAAGGTACTGTATAAATATCTCTTGAAAAAAAAAAAAGTAATCTGAACAGTTCTTTATTGATTCTAATGGCTTCAGAAATTTTTTAAAATACACACACACACACACACACACACATATATATATATACGTACACAAAAACACACAAAATATTACTCTGTTGCCCAGGCCAGAGTGCAGTGGTGCGATCTCGGCTCACTGCAACCTCTGTCTCCCAGTTCAAGGGATTCTCCTGCCTCAGCCTCCTGGGTAGCTGGGATTACAGGCACCCACCACCACACCTGGCTTATTTTTGTATTTTTACTAGAGACAGGGTTTCACCATGCTGGCCGGGCTGGTCTCAAAACCTGACCTCAAGTGATCCGCCTGCCTCGGCCTCCCAAAGTGCTGGGATTACAGGCGTGAGCCACCACTCCTGGCCCAGAAAGGCTTTTGTTTAACAACTCATAACCCATTTGCTAATATTATTATAAGCCCAAAAAGTATATAAACGTAAAGTCATTTTGCTTCAAGAGATATTCATCATCTTATCTCTAAAATATAAAGTATGCTTGTTGCATTCGTTTTCCACGTTCTTCCTTTCCACATTCCAAGATAATTAGGGAAGCATTGTCAACTTTTTAAACTCAAGAACTCTTTTCCACAGTTATATATAATAACTAGAAACCTGTTAGGAATTTATAAAATTATTTTAAAATTCGCGTATTATATAATAACTACTTTTAAATTAAATATTTTATTTTATATCAGTTTTTAAAGAGTACATTATAAAATCTTAATGAAAAATTAGAAATTCAGAACATACACAGATACACTTCAACTTTTCCCTATTTGACTATCTACACACTTTCCTAAGGCTAACTACGTTAGAAAGTGTTCCTTTTCAGCAAATTTAAAACAGTCTTTTGTTTGGGGACCAAAGGTATACTAATAGCTAGATTGAAATTTTACATATTTTGACATAGCCAGAAACTGTTTTTGTGGCCTGATCATAACTAACAATGTTAAATTCTTTCATTTTGATATTTAAAAATTCAGTTGACTTATACTGATAATTTTCACATTTAGTTTCTAAGTGATGCGATAAAAGTAGTTTAGAGCAATACTTACAGGCATTTCTCAGATAGTCTTTAATCATCACTCAATTTTCTCCTTGTTACACCATTTTGGTAAAAGACCGTCATGACTGCGTTAACATTGCGGAGTGGCTGACCGCACTGCGGTAAACAGATGCCTTCGTAGCTCTCAACTAGCAGGGCTGAGCAAGCATGACCTTGCTCATGTGACTGCCACTCACCATTGCATAACCTCCCTTGATAGATACTCAGGGGTTTCCCAACATTTCTAGTTCAAATAGGAGAGGAGTAATGATTTTGCTTGTTTATTTTTTCAAAATAGAAGCATAAGTAGATAGCGTTGCCACATGTATCAATGCCATTGTTTTGAGAATTCCTTTGAAAGGCACCCTCTGGCCATACAAACTAAAGAAGCAACCCCCCTCCCCAGTAGGTCCTTGTCGTATTCCTCTGTTTCCAGTTACCATTGCATTTATCACTCTTGATTATTCTTTCATTTCCTTTTAGCCTTGTTGATGACTGTCTGTATCCTTCCACCTCGGTGTAATATCTAGGAAGTAGTTCTATTTAGCGTCATATCTCCCGATCCTACAACAGTTGTATATGTTCAACTAATCAGTGAATAATGTGGAATTCGGGGGACACATGTTGGGGGGCGTTAATCCGGCTGAGTGTCATTCCTTAGCACTTCATTCTTCCCGCAGTTCTCACGTCAACCTTTAGCGCAAACTCTACTATTAATGTAATTTAAGGGAGTGAACATAGAGAGCTAAGAATCATTCCACGTGTGATCTCACCACTTTCCTTTTCAAATAACACCAGGAAACTATTACTTTTGTTGTGCCATGAATCGCACCCCTCAGTATGTTCAGAGACACAGGCGCAGGCATGTGTAGGTTCTACTTCCTTCCCGGACCATCGGCTGGTGCCCAAGCTCCTCTGTGTCTTTTCTTTGTGACCAAAACCTTTAACAACATCCTTAGGTTTATGCTAGTTTATTTCTAGGAACCAAGATGTGGAAGTCTGCTAAACCATCAGGGCTTTCTTCGTGTGTGATTATTAAGAGAAATGTAGGGTGTTGCCAGCTACTTTTGCATTTTTTTACCTGTTTCTGATCGTTCCCTTTCAGGGACCTGAAAGCAGAAAGGAGAGAAATGAAAGAGAATGCCTGAGAATGGAGATAAAATCCCGAAAGAAAGTAGAGGAAGAAAGAAGCTCCAGGAAAGAAGAACATGGAGACGCACACATGGCTCCCCTGTTTGAAAAAGGCCCTGAATAGTACTCCGCTTCCGCATCCTGACATCACATGCGGCTGTTTTATTGTTTTTTCTTTGAGCTCTAATGCATCATTTCAAGATATGGATGGGGGTGGTGGGGGGAGTGAGGAACAGCTGTAAAAATCAACTGCAGACGCTGAGTGACTGCAGCGGGCAGGGTATGTAGCTGCTCCAAGGTGTCTTGCATCACACTTTAATTGCTCCTGGCATCTTAGTTGAGGGTACAACCTGCTTGCTTGCCCTTTTATGGAAATAAAGAGAATAACAGGTACTTGAATAGAATAAAGACAAATTTGAAACTGTAATATAAGATATTTAAAGAGCCACCCACGTAGCTTCCCCAACCCTTCTTACACATCAACTCATAAATCATCTTAAATAAAAGTCATTGGTATGACTCTTGAGTTTACTTTCTGATCAGAAGTAATTATGTAAGTATGTCTAATGACCATCATTTAAGGAGAACTGGTAATTAACATGCCAAGGACTATGCTGGATAATTTAATGCATTACCTAAAATAAGCTTCACCACTCCGAGGTGGGACCTTTTATTAGTCAGGATTCTCCAGAGAGAAAGAACCAATAGGATGGAGATAAAGATAGATAGAGATAGAGGTAAATAGAGACAGAGATATGGGAGATAGGATTTATTAGGGGAATTGGCTTACGTGATATGGAGGCAGAGAAATCCCAACATGAACTGTCTCCAGGCGAGAGAACCAAGGAAGTGGGTAGTGTGGCTCAGTTCAAGTTCAAAGCCTCAGAACCAGGGAAGCCAGGAGGGTGGCTTGGTCCAAATTTGAAAACCTCAGAACTAGGGAAGCTGATGATATAACTTTTGGTCCTAGGCTGAAGGTAAGGTACAGGAGGAGTCACTGGTGCAAGTCTGGGACTCAAAAGGCCACAGAGGACCTGCAGTTCTAATGTCCAAGGCAGGAAAAAAGGGCATCCCAGCTTTAGTGGTGGGGTAGGGGGAGAGAGACAGAGAGAGAGAGAGAGAGAGAGAGAGAGAGAGAGAGAGAGAGAGAGAGAATTCTCTTTTCCTCTGCCTTTTTCATCTATCCAGGTCTTCAGCCAGTTGGATGGTACCTGCCCACATTGGGTGAAGGTGGATCTTGCTTACTCAGTCCACTGATTAAAATGCCCATTTCTTCCAGAATCACTTTAACAGACACATCTGTGCAGAAAGAAATAATACCTTTGCCAGCTGTCTGGATGTCCCTTAATCCAGTCAAGCTGGCACCTAACATTAACCATCAGAGACCTATTTTTCCCTTCACTTTCTAGATGATAAAACAAAATTTAGAGAGTTCTGTAGCTTTCTGGTTTGGTGGCAGAATTAGGGCCAGAGCCCAGTTCATTCCGATGCCAGAGCTCATAATCCTGATGTGAGGCTGGACCTTAATTCCCTTTAGTAGCTGGTTCTGAGCTAGTATGTGTATCATGTGCATGTGAACGAGTGGATGTCAGTGAGAATAGCAGGAGCAGGGCAGGTTGCAGCTTTGGTTGCATGGATGAAAACTGATTCGCTAAGGTCAGCTTTATGCTCTGGGTTTTAACTTTACGGAGCTCTATCGCTAATTGTTTTCCCCTGAAAGCAAAGATACTGGAATTCTCTAATACTCTCTCTGTTTATTCCTCATCTGTCTTGGATCTTCAAATGCCCAAGGGCAGCTACATTCTCTATTTCATGAAGAGGAAAATCCCCCCAAAATATTACTCATAACTAATACTGTAATTAATTGCTTATGCAAGCACTGACTTTGACTTAGTAAAAATAAAAAGGAAGAAGGGTGTGGTAGTTTGTTCTCACACTGCTATAAAGAACTGCCCAAGACTGGGTAACTTATAAAGAAAAGAGGTTTAATTGACCCACAGTTCTGCATGGCTGAGAAGGACTCAGAAAACTTACAATCATGGCAGAAGTGGAAGGGGAAACAAAGATTTTTGCATGGTGGTAGGAAAGAGAGAGCTAGCAAGAGCAGGAAAAACTGCCTTATAAAACCGTCAGATCCCATGAGAACTCATCATGAGAACAGCATGGGGGAAACCACCCCCATGATCCTCCCACCAGGACCCTCCCTTGCCAGGGGATTATGAGGATTACGATTCAAGATGAGATTTGGGTGGGGACACGGCCAAAGCATATCATTCCACCCCCGCCCCTCCCAAAGCTCACGTCCTCACATTTCAAAACACAATCACGCCTTCCCATCAAAGTCTTAATTCATTCCAGCATTAAACCCCAAAGTCCAAGTCCAAAATCTCATCTGGGCAAGTCACTTCTACCTATGAGCCTGTAAAATCGAAAGCAAGTCAGTTATTTCCAAGATACAACGAGGGTACAGCCGTTGGATAAATGCTCCCATTCCAAACGGGAGAAATTGGCTAAAACAAAGGAGCTGCAGGTCCCATGCAAGCCCCAGAATTCAAAATTAAATTTAAAAGCCCCACCTGGCCAACACAGTGAAACCCTGTCTCTAATAAAAATACAAAAAATTAGCCAGGTGTGGTGGCGGGCACCTATAATCCCAGCTACTTGGGATGGTGAGGCAGGAGAATTGCTTGAACTCGGGAGGTGGAGGTTGCAGTGAGGCAAGATCACGCCACTGCACTCCAGCTTGGGTGAGATTCCAACACACACCACACACACACACACACACACAGAACTGTCTAAGACTGGATAATTCTTATTTAAAAAAGGTGTTCAGTCGACCACAGTTCCAGTTCAACATGGCTGAGGAGGCCTCAAGAAACTTACAATCATGGCAGAAGGTGACGGGAAGCAAAGACCTTTTCACATGGTGGCAGGAAAGAGAGAGCTAACAACAGCCGGGAAAAGTGCTTTATAAAACCATCAGATTGGCCGGGCGTAGTGGCTCAAGCCTGTAATCCCAGCACTTTGGGAGGCCGAGGCGGGTGGATCACGAGGTCAAGAGATGGAGACCATCCTGGCCAACATGGCGAAACCCCATCTCTACTAAAAATACAAAAATTAGCTGGGCATGATGGCGTGTGCCTGTAGTCCCAGCTACTCGGGAGGCTGAGGCAGGAGAAATGCTTGAACCCGGGAGGCGGAGGTTCGGTGAGCCGAGACTGTGCCACTGCACTTCAGCCTGGCACCTGGTAATAGACTGAGACTCTGTCTCAAAAAAAAAACCCAAAAAACAAAAACCCATCAGATCTTGTGAGAACTCACTATCATGAAAACAGCACTGGGGGACCTTCCTCCATGATCCAAGTAACTACTGCCATGCAAACACTGCTCACTGCAGCCTCAGCCTCCCAGGCTCAAGTGATCCTCTCACCCTAGCCTCCCCAGTAGCTGGGACCACAGGCATATGCCATCACACCCAGCTAATTAAAAAAATTATTTAAGTGGGGGTCTCCCTATGTTGCCCTCTCAAACTCTTGGGCTCAAGAGATTTTCCTGCCTTGGCCTACCCAGAGTGCTGGGGTTACAGGTGTGAGCCTCCATGCCTGACAGAATAAAAGATTTAAATGTGTTTGTTTATCTTCTTGGAGATAAATATGGTTAATACATTGGTGTATGTACTTCCAGAATGCTATTTTTGTGTACATGTGCACATGAACATAAGTGCACATCAAACACCTTTTCAGTCATGATCTCATTTCAGTTAAGAATATATCATTAACATCTTTTTAATCAATAAAATAGTTGATTACATAACTTTAAATGGCCTTTAAGTGTAGTCAAGTTACTTCCATCACAAAAACCTTCCCTCATAACATACCAAGACATACTATTCTTGATAGCCAATAGTCATCAATTTAGCTATCTTCCTTTTCACAGAAAACTTCTCAAAGAGTTAGCTACATTTCCTCTCAGTTTTCAGTCTACTGCAACGTGACTTCTGTCCTCACCCTTTATAGAAACGTTCTCTTCAAAATCACACCCTGGAGCTCCCTACTGCCAAATTCTGTGAAAACACCTCCCGACATTGCTTGACTCTCTGACATCATGGAACATTTCTGGTTACGCCCTCCTTCTTGAAGCCCCGTCTCTGGCTGGCTGTTTAACTTATATTCTTTTGGTTTTTCTTGTTCCTCTTCGATCACGCCTGGTATGTCTTTGGTGCTTTGGTGAGGGATCTTTATACCTTAAATATGGATTTTCTTCAGAACTCTGCCTAAGCACTCTGTCTCAGTCACCTTACCCTCCCTGGGCAATCTCAAACATGTCCAGGGTATCTGCCACCTACATGCCGATGGCTCCCAAATCTGTCCCTGTGGTGCAGACTCTCTCCTGAGCAGCACACTTACTTATAAAGCCATCATTTGGACCTATTAGTTGCAGGTTTCACAGACGTCTCAAACTCATCTTTTGAAAGTAAATTGTTCTTTCTTGCCCTGTCTGCCCTCCATCTGCTCCTCCTTCTGTGTTCTCTGTCTCAGAGACGCCACCATCATTTACCAGTTGCTCATGGAAACCTGCCTGGGTTTCAAATCATTTGTATTCCTCTTGTTCTCCCATTCTCCATCTAATTAATCATGAACTTGCGCCTATTTTGCCTGTAAATATCACTGGGATCTACCCAGTTCCCTCCATTCTCATTGCTACTACCTGATTTCAGGCCCTTTATATCTTGCCTTATTTCTTACAATAGAAATAATAAAATTTTAGATATATTTGGTTAAATCAAATATGCTATGAAAATCATTATTGACCTTTTTCCTCTTATATAAATGTGGTTACTAGAAAATTTTAAATTACATATATGTCTTATGTTATATTTCATTAGACAGCACTAATCTGTATGTTGGTTAACTTTCAAGCCTCTTTTTGTATTACTAACATTTTAGTGTTTTTTTGTTTTTTTTTTTGAGATGGAGTTTCGCTCTTGTTACCCAGGCTGGAGTGCAATGGCGCGATCTCGGCTCACCGCAACCTCCGCCTCCTGGGTTCAGGCAATTCTCCTGCCTCAGCCTCCTGAGTAGCTGGGATTACAGGCACGCGCCACCATGCCCAGCTAATTTTTGTATTTTTAGTAAAGACGGGGTTTCACCATGTTGACCGGGATGGTCTCGCTCTTGACCCCGTGATCCACCCGCCTCAGCCTCCCAAAGTGCTGGGATTACAGGCGTGAGCCACCGCGCCCGGCTCTAGTTTTTTTTTTTTTTTTTTTTTTAAATTGTATTTGGGCTCTGGGGTACATGTGCAAATCCTGCATCCTGTAGGATTGTTGCATGGTACATACATGCCATGGTGGTTTGCTGTCTCCAACTGCCCCCGACACCTGTCACCTACATCAGGCATTTCTCCCAGTGTTATCCCTCCCCATCCTCCCTGAGCCCCACCCTGCCGTCACCGTCCCTCCCCTCCCCTCCACTCCCCCACCTATCCCTATCCCTGTGAGTATCGTTTCCTTCCCTGTG